AGGGGGGAGAAGCGACTAGTCCCATCACTAGTCTACTATCCGATAACCTTATGCTTATCGGATAGTCGACTAGTCAACTAGTTGCTTACATCCCTAGCCTGGGCTAGTCTCTTCAGTCTCCTCTAGCAAAACCTACAAGTAAGGCCACACTTAGCTGCAGATACCGACACTGAGATCAGCTCTGAGAGGACTCAGCTTAAAGTTTTTACTCTAGCTCCCAGATATACACTCCCTCCTCCTTTGGGGTACAAACACAGTTATATAAAGTTTGCCTCCATCTTTGATGTGAAAGAAGGAATATACAGCTTCTCCCTTCTCCAACCCTCATTCCCACAGTTACAATGCAGTCTATGTAATTTCTATTAATCAACTTATTTGTGGTTTATAATTATGAATAAATATGAAAAGGTGTATTTGACCACTTAAGAGGCAGCAGACACCGTACTAAACAAATTATACAAAGCATACAAGCTAATCTTGATTGACTAAGAACTGGTTACAAATCATAATTTCTCATCTTACTTATTACTTCAGGAAAAGTCCTTCACAGACCAGGTGTCTCTTGGCCTGGGTCCAGCAGTCTCCCTTCCTCCCACTTCACTTAAGGCTTTTTTGTTTGCAGGTCTTTCTTATGGGAGGAAGGGGGAAAAAGCAGGCTGAACACAATCATCGTTTTTCTTTCCTGACTTATATAAAACTCCCCATAAGGTGGGGAAACCTTTGTTTGATTCTCCCCACCCTTCTGTGGAACAGTTCATCAGATCAAGGAGTATCAGATGACTTGGTAACCTGACTCTACTGTGTTCATGAGTCAGTAGTGCTATGGAGTCCCCAGAAAGGCTAAGTGTATTCACAATTAATTGTTCTAGTTGATGGGCCATCTGCTCTGTTTTGCTTTTCCATTGTAGTACCTGAAGTTTCAGCAGTGGGAGTGACCCAAAGTAGTAAATATGAAATACAGATACACAGGACAGTATTCCTAACTTGACCTATATAAAAGATAAATGCATGGAAATGGGATAATTCTAATGAGTAAATCCTAACCTTTCCAATTATATCTGAGTCATCATTCATAAAGCATATTTCAGTTATGCCATATTAATACCATAAACATCTGCTATATATTTGAGAGAGTTTGTGAGCGACTGAGTGTTTCTGTTCAAGAACTTCTAAATGGTAATAGCTAGGACCACCAAATTAGGTATGTAGCTTCCTTAAAGCAAGGTAAGAGTTTGGCTGAAGCTTCTCCTCCTCTTTCTCTGTTACATATGGGAATGCATAAAATCATTCAGAAAAGACAGAATCACCAGGCAGGTGAAAGGGTCTGACTGTTGGGATGGCCTCCCACTCCCAGGCACTGCTTAGGGAGGACGGGGGGGGCTGCAGCTTCCCCCCCTCCCCATTTGACCGGGAACATTGCTAACTGTTCCCCTTTGTCAGGGAGTGAGGAAAAAGGAGAACAGTTTGCTCTATTCCTCACTCTTACTAGTGGGCACTGGGGGCAGATGAACCTGCACTTGTGCCAGTCAGCGGACATTCATTCCCGCCTCCCAGCTGTACCTGCTAGGGATGTAAAAGAGTAGTCAAGTTGACTGATCATATTCCCCTCCTCCCTCTTGTTGCCTCTAAATCAGAAGCAACAAAGGGGTGGGGAGAAGCAGGAGCTGGTGCTGGGGGGAGTTAGATTAAAAGTTGGTTCCCACCAGCGTTGTCTCCACAGTGAGGGGGGCAAGGGAGGCAGAGATGCAGTGGTTCTTACTACATTTAAAAGGCAGAGCCGCAGCATGATTAACTCCTGGGAGTGGCATGAGCTTGGACTGCTTAAATGTAGTAGGAGCCGAGCTGATAAGTAGTACTCGCTGGAGCTGCAGTGGCCATGAAGAGGTGATTCTCACCTAACCCCAAGCTGCTGTGATGAGAGAGGGCTTGCATAGTCCAGGAAAGCCTGCATACTGAAGCCCTCATCTCCAGCCCCACCCCTGAGTAAATGATTTAAATGAAGAAAAACAAAAATGAAGGACATGAGCAATGCTGGGTAAACTTCTAGTATCTTCATAAAATACAAGGAATGCCCTGTCACTGCATCAACTTGCAAAATATTAATATTTCAAAAAGTTTTTAGAAATAAAATCTAGATATGTGCCAGTTTTGAGCCTTCATCTTGTATTTGTGTTTTGACAAATTTGTGAAGTTTCCCCCTGTAATCTTCCATATACATCTATTAGCTGAGGACTTGTATGATGAGACGGAACCAATAAATCATAAGTCAGTCATGCTGTATGTATCTTCATGTCACACAATGGAATTTCCATGAGGAGTCCTGTGGCACCCTAAATACTAACACGTTATTTGAATGTAAGCTTTTGTAGACTGGCGTCTGACAAAGTGGGGCTAGTCTATGAAAGCTTCTGCCCAAATAAATCTGTTAGTTTCTAAGGAGCCGCAAGATTCTTTTTTCCCCCCAAAGAAAAAGTCTAATGCAGGTACTCCTCTGAAAACTGGAATTTTCAGTAACTCTATATTTTAATTTTACTTTTTTATTTTCTCAGTACTGATATGAGTACTTGGGTCCTGTTTATTGCCAGGAAAGCAGATTTTTCTTGTTTCAGCAATAAAGAGGTATTGGAACAATGAAATTCACAGAACTTCTAACTTCTTGCATTTTTTTAATTATAAGAAAGTGGTGATCAGATGAGTTGCTGAAAGGAATGAATATGCCTTCCTTATAGGAAATCTACATAACTTGTCAGTTATGAGTTAGCCAGCTGAAAAATCTAGGTCACTTTTGACAGCTAATGTTTCAGATTTTATTTTCTAAATCAAATAGCAAAATAAATTTCCCTTTAAAATATTTGTATTGATAAAGTTATATAAATTTATATAGGATACATTTCTATTTTCAATTATCTGCCAAAACGACAGAAAGTTTGCATTTTCATAAACTCTTATGCTACGTCTAAATTACACCCCTCTGTCGGCAGAGGGATGTAAATTAGACGTATCAAAAGTGCAAATGAAGCCGGAATTTAAATATCTCATGCTTCATTTGCATA